ATACTAGTGACAGATGCAATCACGCCCTCACCCTATCAGACGCACGCCAAAAAAAAACACACAACACAGACATATTACAGGGTTTGCCCATTCACGCCAAAAAAACAACAACAACTCCCCCACCCATACCTTGCCGACTACATGCACCACGTATATTCTTAACCTCCGCCCTCTTAAACCACAAAATCTCCTTCCCCCACGCGCACGTGAAGTGCGCGATGAGCTTCCTGCGAAACTCTTCGAAGCCGCAAGTCGGAGTCTCGCTTTCCTCGTCCACGTCCATGGCCGCCGCCACTGCCGTCGCCTCCCCCAACCCCCCTGCCGACCCCACCCAATCGGCGTCCTCCTCCATCTCGTCGAGGCGGTTGAAGCTGTGGAGCATGTTGTGGAGGATGCACGCGGTGAACCACGCGTTGTCAACCTTCTGTCGTGTGGAGAACAAGATGTCACCACCGAAAAGCCTCCAGCGCCCCTTGACTCTGCCAAAGCAACACTCCATGTCCTTGCGCATGCTCTCCAACCGCCTGCTCCAATCGTGCTCCTCGACGGTGTTGTGCGTCGTGATCGGGGATCAGAAGCGGGATCTGTGATACGGCAGACCCAAAATGGCTATCGGGTGTTGGTTTAATGTGAACTTGTGTCGAATAAACGTGATCTGTCTCCAAGGACTGCGCAAAGGGGCAAGGCGTGCCATCAAATAATTCCTTGACAACTAAATAAATAGACACTTACGCTCCCACCTCCTCCCCAAGCCAAAAAAAACAAACAGCTAGGATGGGAATGCAAAACACGACGTGGTACGGGTACACGTACTGAGTAGAGTACGGCAACGTTCCTGTCTGGCGGGTGTGAACTGATCCCGGAGGAGAATAATACGGGTTCCTCACCATGAACGGAGCAACAGAAAAAGCAACGACCGAACGCGACGGGGTTTCGCCAGCGGTTTTCGCACTTACAAATGTGACGCTTCTGTGGGCGGGGGTATGTCAACGATGTACGGGCGAGACTAGTCACGCCCATCTACACCAACAACAAAAAAGTGGTCAAAAACCAACATCCGAAACTAACCTTCGGGTACCCCCCGTCCACGATGATCCACGCCCCTGTGTACTCCGTCTCCGTGCCGTCGGCGTTATAGAGCTTGAACTTGTGGCTCTTCCACGGCTCCTCATCTCGTATTCACCAGATGGACTTGTCCCGTGCGATGACCGTCTTGTCGTTCTCGGCTCTCGGGTAAGTCTTGGTTGCCGCGAGGATGCGACCAGAATGGTCACACGTGCACTCCACCACCAGCGACGTGTAACCCTACTTGCCGGTGTGGGTGTTCTCCTCGGAGAACGGGCAGCCCGGCCAACGGAAGTGGGTGCAGTCCGTAGATCCCGTCGCCCCCGGGTAACCACACTTGCGGTAGATCTCCTCGACCTTCTTGAGTTCATCCCCGCGCGGGAGTTTCACCCAAGTGTCCCAGAGGCCCTCGGAAAAATTCTCGCAGAAATGGTGGAAAGAAGTCTCCGCGGTCGTGCGGCTCATCAGAGAGAAGGAAGCGACGTCCTGGAAGCAGCATCCCGACGCCAACACCTTCAAAGTACCCAGCACCTATGAATGATACAGCAGTGCAGGGGGCACACACAACGGCGGGCGGCGGCGGCGGCGGCGGAGGGTTGTAAGCTGTCATGCGAAGGGAATGTATACTCTTTTACCAAGCTGTGGCTCGAATGTATACTCTTGTATCATCGAGAGAGTTGCAGAGCTTTGCGGGAGACGACGAGTGGGCAAGTACAGCAGTAGGG